CGCTAGAGTCGCGCGAGTACTTGCATTTGCTTCCATACTTGCACTTGCCAGTCTTGGCGAACTCATAGCATTGATTGCTGTTGTCACCCTTCGTACTTCGTTTGCCATAACTTGGGCTTCTTGTGCGTTTGTCATGTGGCGCTGGGTTTGCATACTTTGCTGAATGCGATTGGGCGATTTTCTCTCGATTGGTCCTAAGCCTTTCTCTATCAAGATATCGCCTAACAGAATTGATGAGAAACTCATAACTTCTGTCACTGCTTCCCTCTGGGGCACGTTCATAGACATCAAGATCAAATCTGAGTTTACGGAACTTCCTGACCTCTCTGTAGAAAAGATCCTTTAGTGTAGCTGGGTCGGGTACATGACTCATTCCAGTCAAAACACTTTCCCATTTCCTAAGAAAGGACTTCAAGTCATCGCTATCAAGCGAGATCTTCAGGAGGTCCTCAGTGCCATACAATGCACCCGCTTCTTCACTAGTTTTGGAATGGACTTCAAACATGAGCAAAACCTGACGACCACGGACGATCCTACCCTGCTGTGCCTCAGATTCCTTGTAGTTAAGGATTTGTGAGACAGTTCACCTTTGGCGACCTTAGTCAAAGCAGCAAGGAGTTTCGTACCTAAGGTCCGAAACTTGCCTGGGTCAGCCAGCTCAGAACAAAGCTTAGATTTGTCCTCTTGAACGGCGTAAACCTCAAGCGCCCATCGGACGCGGACCGAATCGCTTCGCGAACTGCGGCCCTCCAAGTGCGGTACGTGTCAGGACTTGGAAACTCGGGAAGGTCTATCCTATCTGCCTCTTTTGCCTTGGGTTTATTTTGGTCTTTGCTTTTAGCACCTTTAAACACCTCTAGCAAGGCTCTCTTAATAATTTCACCTAGATCTTGTTCTTGGGGAGTTCGTACCTGAGATGCCGGCCCTTCTTCTTTGCGGTCATCTTTGTCTTGTTTGGCGTCCTGGTTAAAGGAGCCTTTGTACAAAGGGTCATCGCTGAAGTTGTATTGCGCCGACTTCTTCCGATATTCTGTCCAAGGATCTGGTGCATCAACTTTTCGCTTGTCCGTCGAATCTGTAGCTTGCTCTGTTGCAGTCGCCCCTGTTCCAGAGAACATTGAAGGAAATCCTGTATTGCGATTGGCTGCATTTGCATCCTTGCTGTCTTTACGGGAATTCCGCCTGCATCTGGGGGGCGAACCTTCTACGGTTGCTGGAATTGGGCCTTCCGTACGAAGAGGTCCAAGTGAACGGGGTTGACCAATAGCGAAAATATCGGCTTGAGCATGAAGTGGAGGTGGCTCAGGATGTTGTGGCCCTGGTTTAACGGGGCTTTCGGCTTGTGCCTTGCACTTGGTTTCTTTGCGCTCTTCTTCCCTGTCTGTTAAGGCCTGCACAACACGTCTGAGCTCATCCATTTCACCTTTCAACATTGCATTGTCCTTTCGTAGTTCAACAATGGTTTGCTCTTGATATCCCTTGTCAACATCGTTCTGCTTCTTGGCTGCTTCCATTTCGCTAATAAGCGACTTGATTTTGGCCTGCGCAATTGCCAATGAACTTGTCAGCTCTTCGCGCTTGAAATCTAGATCTATAACCTTTCGGGCTTCTTCGGCTGATGTAGATCTGGCTTGCTCTGTTGCCTCTACTGCCGCCTTGAGTCTAGATTCTTGCTGCTCGACATACTGACGGTGTTCAGATTTCAACCTTTCAACAAACATATTGCCTTCTTCTGCTAAGGCGTTCTTCTCTTGTACAACCCTTTCGCGAGCCATAGTTGCCTGAGCTAGCCGTTGTTGGAAATGTTCTCTCTGCTCTTCCAACGTACCTTGCAACCGTTTGATCGCAACGTTGTCTTGCTGTTGAGCCATTTGCTGAACACTTTGTTCCTGCTGTTGAGCCCTCTGTTGAACATTCAACATTGCCTGCTCTGCCGCAACTTTTGTTGCTGCTATGGATTCGGAAGCTTCTCTTTCATATATTTGCCTAAAACGCAGCGCTTCGAGTTCTGCTTCCCTCCTGGCATGCTCACTGAGTAAAAACTCACGTTGTTGTAGTTCCCGTCGTAGTTCTTCATCACCTGTTGATGTATTCACGTTGACGACGTTGAACCGAGTCATCGCCAACAAGTTGTTTACTGTTGGCGCACCCGTTACGGTGGCTGACGGCATACCTGCTAGGGTAGCTCGCGTTGCTTCTTGGAGAGTAACACTGCCACCACTGTCTAGCATCTGTTGGTACACCTCCGAAGCTACCCTTGGATCCATTGCTGCCACCTGAGCAACTGCCTGCTCTGTTGGGTAAACTTGGAACAATGTCAAAACCATTTCCGTAGGTGTTCGGCGCGACGTCATCGTTCATCGGGTCCATAGCTCTACTCTAGTTAGCCTACGGCTGATAACCTGTATTTTACAGGATCAGCTCTAATCTACTAGCTAACCCTGACTAGCCGCTAACCGTACCTTTTAACTCTACCTTGAGAGTACACGCTACGGGGTCCACAGGGATGAGGTGAATTTCAACACATACTTGTATTACTTGTGCATGTACTTGTCTACATTGTACACAAGACTCCCGTATCTACAAGTCAGAAGCACCACTCGACCCATCAAGAATCTGGGCTCCCCAGGAGCCCCAACTCACTATGTCTTGACTCTCAAAAGTGCCATCTAGGACCTAGACCCAATCACAATCCTGACAAACCAACCTGCAAAGCTACGCAAAAGCCACGGCAAAACTCCCTGTTTGCATATCAGTCTTCCCTTGGTCGCTTCTTCTCAAATTCAATCAAGGTACAGAAGAAAATATCTCGCACCCAGGTTCCACAGCAGAAGAGCAAAGAGCGAGTGCTTCGGACTTGTCCAAAACAGCAAATCTGCGGCTCTCCGAAAAGGCAAAAACAACTTACACAAATTCACGGGCTCTGAACCAAGCCTAGCCTAGTGTTCCAAAAAGAAGTGGAGAGATAAAGCGATTCCTTTCGCAAGCAAGTTGGTCGCGGAATGTGTAATTTATTAATCAAGGCAAAGGCGTGGAGGCTGAAGCCAAGTGTCCAAATCAAATCCACCAAGTGCATGGCAGGTCCATATACCGCATCAATGTCAAAGTGCGGCGGCCTTGGGCAATTGTTTTATCGCAAGTTGATGAATTGAATGTGTCTTTGTCTTAGATGTTTGTGGGAACATATCGAGTTTGGTCAGATCCACAACTCCTTACACGTTGACACCTTGGCGCCAAACGGAGAAGGTACCGGTGGCAAAGGTGATACAAACGCTTGGAAGCGTCTCAGCTGCTTCACCTCCAACATCTGCACCTTCACGGACACACAAGCACCACTTCCAGAGTTGTGGATTTTCTGTGAGCTTCAGCAATGTGTTCTCTTTATTCCCCAAACAGTGTGGTCACACTAGGGATTCTTACGGAAATAGTTCAGGGCCGGTGTCTAATCGAGGCATAGCACGTTCGTGTGCGGCTAGCCCGTTGCTAATTACAGTACATTCATGCCTCACGAAATCTTCGAAGTGCACCTCGACTGCGCAGGCTCACAAAATCTGGCGGGGCGCGGCGGGCGCTTGTCGCGACCGCGCTCTCGTTGTGGCGCCGTGCGCATTTTCTGGCACGGCGGTCACTTTTCGTGGCAGGCGCAAGGGAAACCTCGTGCTTTGGTGGTTCAAAGTCGGCTTTTCGTGACAGGCACCAGGGATCGGAGCGGTTTTGCTTCGATGTGTAGGTTTCGTGGCAGGCGCAGCACTTTGGTGGTAATCTTTGACGGGCTCTGATTTCGTGACAGGCGCAGAACCGTGACTTTTGGACATGTTCAGAAATCGGCGGAAGTCTCGCGCGAAAGCTGCGTTTCGGCGCCTTGATGTTACCTGGGCATAAGGTGAAGTGACTTGTGTTCTTGGTGAACCCTTTGCGGAGATTGTCCGCGTCGACCCCTAGACATGAGGTGAATACGAACTTGGCTCGTTGTCCTTTGGATCCTTTGGGCACTTTTTGCGGGGATCGCGCGCGCGTGAAGGGCTCAAGCGCGCAGTGACACGCGATCTTTTGTGCACTTGTGAACAACTTGGGAGATTGCGCGCGTCGAGTTGCCACTGCTAAAGCGCGCAACCCGTCGAAGATTGGTGGAAGTGGTCATGGCGCGCAACTGTCGTCGAAAATGGCAGTTGAAGCTGGAAGTGGCCTGTCACGAAAGCGATTGCAAAAGTGCGGGACTGTCGTCGAAGTGTGTAACGTCGAATATCAATGGTTCCGCGCCGGAAGTGGAAGGCGCCAAAGTGCGCAACTGTCATCGAAAATGAAGGTGGAAGGCGCCAATTCAAAGTGTGTAACTGTCGTTGAGAATCAAGGTGGACGTTGCCAATGTGTGCAACTGCCGTCGAAAATCACTACGCCAAATCGTATGACCGTCGTTAACAATCCAGGTGGACGTCGCTGGAGTGCATAATGGTCGCCAAGCGCGGCCTCAGGACTTGTGACTTTATAGTATACAGGTAGTAGTACAGGCAGCTGTGCCTCAGAACTGGCAGCTTTGTAGTACACACGCAGCGCAGGAAGCAGCTTTGGGAGCTATACTTCAGAACCGGCAACTTTGTAGCGCAATGTAATTTTGTAGTACAAATGTAGTACAAGAAGCAGCTTCTGAGCCTGCCGCAACCTTCTAGTGCACATGCACTATGGGAAGGAGCGGGCCGGCGCGTCGCTGGCAACCCAGGAGCCAAATTCGTCGCGCCAAACTACCTCCATCTTGCATAGAGTGCGATCCGATGGTGTCTTTGGCCCAACACAACATGAACGATCCACCCAGTTGCTTTCTGAGTCTGCGCAGGCAGCCATTCGAAATGAATCACACCCTTCACACATGGCCATTCGTGCACTGGCCCCTAAACATCCACGTGGGCAATTTAGATTTCTTTCATCTAGCCTTGCGCGCTCCACAAGACGAGCTGCAGGCCCTTGAGACACACTGCGGGAGCCCTTGCCCCACCCAGGTAAAACTAGAGGGAGAACTTGGCTGCGCCAAACCTGACAACACCGAGGTCCCACCGTCCTTGGCGGCAAGGCTTCATAGGTGTTTGACTGACCTCTTCCATGAAGGCACAAACACTACAGCCACATACCAGCTTCTGACGTTCTTTGGTCGTTAAGCCAGCTTGGACCGCTGCGGTCACATAAAGGCTTGAGCCAGCTTGGAACTCAATAATCCGACAAGTCTTGGCAAATAACTTTGGCCTAAGCCTGCTTTGTCCGCTGCGGACTGCTTTGTATCCAGGCAAGGGATACAGTCGACAAACACCCGTTCAACGGGTCCACAGGGGCCACTCTGCGGGGTCACTCTGGGCTATCGTTAGGAGAGACACACTTATAGAAATGCATACTGATGTGAATGCGGCGCCACACGCCGGCCTAGGTTACCAGTTGCTGGGTACCAGGGCGAATAATAGGTCAAAGGCCATCGCTTTTAGGTTGGAGGTCATCGCAAGGCCGTTGGGGGTCAACGCCTAAGGTTGGAGGTTGGAGGCCGTCGCTAGTAGGTGGTAGGTAGTATGCACAAACCAACAAAAGTGACAAATAGTAGGTTAAGGCCATCGCTTTTTGGTTGAAGGCCATTGCAAGGCCGTTGCGGGCCAAGACCTAAGGTTGGAGGCCGTCGCTAGTAGGTGGTGGGTAGTATGCACAAGCAAAACAAAAGTGACAAATAGTAGGTTAAAGGCCATCGCTTTTTGGTTGGAGGTCATCGCAAGGCCGTTGGGGGCCAACACCTAAGGTTGGAGGCCGTCGCTAGTTGGTGGTGGGTAGTATGCACAAAAGTGACAAGTAGTAGGTTAAAGGCCATCGCCTTTTGGTTGGAGGCCATCGCAAGGCCGTTGGGGGCCAACCCCTAAGGTTGGAGGCCGTCGCTAGTAGGTGGTAGTACGCACAAGCAAAACAAAAGTGAAAAAGTGACAGCGAGCAGCAAAGTTGGAGGTCGTCGCTAGTGGGTTGGAGGCCATAGTACCAGGTTGGAGGCCAGTGCTACCAGGTTACAAGAAACACAAGAAACACAAGACACACAAGACAGCCAAAGTTAGGAGCCAATGCTAGTGGGTAGGGTCCCAAAAGTTTGGGTTGAAGGTCCACGTTACAAGGTTGGGGGCCTACCTGCAAACCTATAGAGTAGACTAGAGGAAAACAGAAGGAAAGGCACCGACACACAAGCGTGTCGAGTACCATTTCCTCCTGTTCTCCTAATAGTGGAACAAGTACAAAACCAACGTGCAGGTACACATCAAGGCGTCCCTTGATGCATCCCCTGTCACATCCCAGCTTCGTTGGGCCAGGTAGGATGTGACAGGCCTGGCCCCCCTGCACAACACCGAAAAGTGCCCTGTGAGTCCAAGGGTTACACACACACTGCTTTCCTTCTTTCGTTTCATGTCCTCTCCGCTTTCATGTCTGGTCATCTCACTCCCTTCCTTCTTTTGCACGCACATCCGTCCGGCCCTTGGTGTGCACGTGCACTTCGACATGCAAACTTGGTGACAGGCGGTCCAGGTTCTTTTATAAGGAGGTTTGGTTCATCGGGTGTCCCTGTTCACCTCGTTACCCTTTCATCAGCACTACATACCTTTTGTCTTCTCGTGTCCTCTTGTCATGTTCTCTCTTTTGTCCGTTTTGTGCGCAGCACACATCAGTCAGAGCCCTCAGTCAGAGCTGTGCGTGTGTGTGTGTGTAACTCTTGGACTCAGAGGGGTCCCTTTGGTCAGGTCTTTAACTTTTTGCTCCTTTCCCTCAGGGGGCTTGCGGACATCACGCAAACGCATGCCAAAGAAGCTACGCGTGATGGTGGAAGCCAGGTCTGATCGACCTGGTGCACCTGCAACTGATTATGTTTGGTAATTGCGCTCCACTCCTAGAGTCTTGGAGGCTGCTTCAGGTTGAAGAGGTCGTGATGCAGTACAGTGCTGCTAATGCTTTCGTCGTCGATCTCGTCACTTCTCTCGAGCTTTGCAACTTCAAGACTTACCGCTTTGAGATTTGCAAGCTCAAGGTTTTGGAGGATTCATGCTCAGACCGCTTTACATACTTACTCACCCTGGCCCCTTAGGCTTTTTACTCAGGCTGGCGTGTAGCAAACCACCATCAGTTCTGTACGCATTTCCCGAGTGTGTAGATTCTGACATCACGGGTCTCTCTGCGGATTAAGAAAATGGCGCAGCGACCGTTCCCCTAGCTGTACTAACAAAGCTATGGTGCTCGGCTGGATTATATAGATACTAGACTCAGTGTCGCTCCTGGGCGCACATAAGTCGCAGCCGGAGGACACATCCATCTTTACTCAGGCTTTCTTTCTGCTTCGCCAAGGTCTCTTCGGGGCCGTGGCATTCCGACCATACGTACACCAATCGCACGTCTGCGTGCGTCCGCTGTAGAATTGTGCTACGCAACAACATGCTTTGTTACAGAAGCGTTGATAATCATGTCCGTGTTCTGCGTAGAGCATTGCTCATCATGTCCGTGTTCCACGTAGCACGTACGCTATTACCCACCCCACAACCCAAACCCCCCCACACCATACGGTATATACGTACATGTTACATTTCGCTCCTCATGTCCGAGTTCTACGAAAAAAAGAAAAAAGCACAAAAGTGCCGGGCACCCCGTGACGAAGGGGGAAACTAGCTAGTTTTTGCAAGGCATTGAGTCCCTCAACACTAGGAGACCCTGATGACCGATTGGAAATGGAAATCGAAGTACGGTGCATGTGGAGCCTGAACTGCTCTGTGCTTATGAGAATTGAAGCATTTCCATGAACTTCTCTGAAACATGTCCGGCCTCCAAAAGCACAGCTCCTGCGCCTTTCGCCGGTCGCACCCCTTCTTCTCCAGGAAGTAGTTGCGCTTCTGGCGGCCGAAGTGGTACCTCCAACTCAAGCACTTTCCTTCACGAATCCTGCTGCGGAATTCCAGCGAAGAGCAAACGGAACTGTTCAAGCAAGTTGCCCAGCCACGCAAAGGCTTTGACAGGGGAACCTCAAAGTGGCACACTCCAAACTCCCGCGACTGTTAATCTAGTTTGACAAGTCAGAATCAAGCCACTTTCGACAGTGGGAGATCAAGAAATCCAAGAGCATCATCCCGAGTGGCAGTATCCTGCAGGAAAGCGTTCGTGAGAATCACGGTATTTCGGTCAGTAAAAGCCGTTATGAATCATCGTTGCATTTTGGCTTGAAAAAAGCATATCCTCATCCCAAACCTGGCAAAGCATGGCAAACGAAGACACAGCATCAAGAATTCCAAGACTTCCGCCTCCAAGTGAAGACAGGAATGCGCTCTACTCAGTCGAAAAGCTGTAGTTACATCCCAGCCTCACGTGTGAAGTGCGCGTTCTCTCCAAACCCTCCCGGTGTCTTCACAGTCTGTGCTCTCTGCGGGGCTCCAGCGTGGCGCTCACAGTGCAAGTCCTCACCTGCTACAGCAAGCTAGCTCATCATTGACTCCCCACTAACACAGCACCTGCACTCCGTGATCCACGCGAATAAGGCAATAAGGATCAGAACCTTAGCAACTACCAGCTAAGCTGCGCAGCCAAACGCTCCCAGCAAGCGTCAGAGGTAGCTGCTTTTTTTGGAGACTAGATTGTAGTCAGCTGCCAGCAATCCTTTGGCTTCAATCACTCGTACCTGGCGGCAACACCTCCAGACCCATGCAGCCTAGCAACCATCTCGCACTGAATCCACCCTAGTAGCGTCCTTGCTCCTAGTAGCGATGCCAGGAGCCCCTAATAGCTTCTTGTTCCTAGTAGTAAGGCCAGGAGCCCCTAGTGGGAAAATAGGCCAATGTGGAAATGGTGCATATATAGTGCATACTGCATGCCTTCTATACTACTTTCTAAGTGAGCAGTTGCGCAAACTGGGCGTTCATATTGTGCTCGTGTATCTGTGTCGACCAAAGCTAAACTGGCCTGTAGCGTGCAAAACTCTCGATGCTCATCGCCAGTTGGCACAGGCATTCCTCCCAAAGAAGTGGCACCTCGCGACCAAGCATGAAGTTCATGCCGGGCACTCTGTCTCGATCCACAGTGTCCCTAGCTGGGCGTCGTGCTGAGTGGCTTTGCATATTTTCCTGACTTTGCAGCCTCCAAAGCTGCTTTTGCTGCCTGAAATTGAAAACTATCAATAAACTGTCCCGACATCAACAAAGCCAGCCTCCTCTGGAATCTCTGGAACTGTTGGAGAGGCTACGCAACTATTGCAAACCTTGCAAACTGCATTCGCGTATACAAACTCCACTGCACACATAGAATCAAACGTGTTACTTAAAAAAAAAAAAGAAATGTTGTTGTGTGCTGTGCAACTATATAGTTGTAGCTGTTCGCAATCTGGTTTGAAAGCTTGCAAAGCTGCACACTCTTTGAGGTTGAACTGGATGATAATCTGCAACTAGTTCACGCGATCGTGAACAGGAGTTGCAAACCACCTAAATCCAAACTTCTTGCAAGTCAAAAGCTGCCCTGGCTTCTCAGCCGAAGCTACAGAAATCCAAACCCATAATGAAAAGGCCGTGATCGAAAATGCTTTTCTCCCGCCTTTCCGCATCTTCGGCAGTGATGCTTTCGACGGAATTGCATGACTCCAAAACGTGCATGACAATTCATGCAGACCTCCACAGACATCTGCTTGCCCAGAACTTCCAAACAGAGTTAACCGCTTCACAACACCACAATAGAAAACAAAATACTCCGCACTTGTTCCGATGCCGCAGACAAAGAGCTTGAGTAGCTGAATCGTCCACCCATTCTGTGGCTGTTGAGCTCTGCGACACTCTGCGAGAAATTTCAGTATGGCATCCGCCTCTCATGACAGCAAGCGTTGAATCCAGGCATTTATTTAGATCAATGAACACAATTTATGGCAATGAACGAAAGGGAACTTTTGGTCAAATCAAACGGAGCGTTTCACCATTTCTTTAGCTTGCATGGCCTGCTAGAAAGTTGTTGGTTTGGGTATTCCACAAAGATACTGACGGTCACTTGCCTACCATTCAGCCAAACGTTGCCAGCAGCAAAGAAACGCGCTTCAGTGCAGTGGGCAACCAGTCTGAATTAAACTATAAAAAAATAGGCTGCGGGGTCAAGTGGATGGATGCAACTCACTGTCCGAGTCCAGGCATACAAGACATGGGCAATCCGATGCTCAGGTTCCACAGTTTCTAGTTTCCTGTCAAAGGGCAGGTCCTCCTTGCCACCATCAGCCTCTTTGCCATCCTCATCCCCCTGGAGTCTGAGCTCTGCAAACTCTATCACAAATAGACAATAACTTGCAAGCAAAGATGGGACGCTTCTATGCTCACTTGATATGTTTACTTGGCTGACTTGGCTACTCTTTCTCCTCACAAAAACGCCTTTGAAACTCACTACCACTCGGAAGGCTTTATGTAGAAGAGGCAGCCTCAGAGGTGTCCGGCTGTGGGTCTGTTTGGTTTGCTCCATCCTGGCAAGGCTCTTTGGGAGACACATGTCTCGCTTTGCAGACAAAAGCCTCTGTCAAGTTGGCTGCTCCTGTGTCCTGGCCAATCCAACCGAGTACTGACAGAAAAGCTGAGCCATCTTGCCAGCCTGTTCGATTTGGATAGACTATATACAGTATACAAAAGGGTACATTCAGTGGCTCTGAGGAGAAGTAATGCTGTTCTGCAAACACAATGAACCATCTGACACCCCACAAAATGAGATGGAGTTGGGAATTGGGAAAGTGGCAACAAGTGCAATGAAGCATCTCTTAAAGCCTGTCCTTGTCAGTCATGCTTTTGACGGGGACCAGCCTTGGCAGAGATTGAATATCTCAATCTACAGCGTGTGCCAATTCGTGTGGTCAAGATCTTGGTCAAGTGCTTGTCGAAGATTGCAGTTGCACTTGAGACTTGAACAACCTGAAGCGCTGCCAAGTGATATCTGAAGGGCCACGCAAGTTGTTTAGGCCCCTTCAATGAGGTGCTCTTCGGAGGGATTTGTTCAAAAGGGGCAACACCTTCCATTGTTTGCCTTTTTCCAAGCCAAAAGAGTCTTGTCAAGCGGTCGCAGACTCAGTCTGAGCTTCCAGCTCCACTTCCATCCAAGTCAAACCTTGCGGGCCAAAGGAGCAAATAACAAAAAAACACAGTGCAGCACAACACCTGCTCTCAGTGTTTATGTTAACGGCTTGCAAGGATCTTGATACTCCACGTAAAGGTGCTCGAGAGCTGCAGCTGAGAGAAACACTTCAATGAGATCAAGGGCAAATCAGCATGCCTTTGCAACGGCAAACAGGCAAAATACGTGTAGCGAAAATTATGCTTTGTGAATCTCAGGCAAGTGCATTTCTGACGCTGCATGGATTCCATCAAACCTTGGCTTATCTGCTTTGATGTGAAGATCCTCCCACACATTTCCAAAGTTCACTGCTCCCAATGGCACACAGGGTTGCCATTCTCCAACAAAGTGGCCTGTAGAAAGAAGGCAACATACGGTTTTAGGCACCAAGGCGTAAGGGCTATTGGTGGCCATCCGAAAGAACACAAAAAGCGTAAGGGCTGTGCCTTCAGATCAAAGGACACATTCATTTTCACCGTCTTTTTGGCTTTTAGCTTTCCCTAGAAAGGCAGTCAATGTTTTGTCCCTCCCTCTCTCTCTCTCTCTGTCTATGTGTGTGTGTGTGCGTGTGTTTCTGTCTGTGTCTTCATTTCTATCAGTCTTCTGCATGAAGCACACATTACCATATCTCCAAAGCGTGACGGAAGGACGAAGGCTGGGAAGAGTTCAACACCACGTGTCCATCCTGCGCGTCCAGGAGGATAATAGCATGTTGGACGTCCAACTTCGACGGGATCTGGTTGCAGTTAAGAGACCATCTTCATGTGGTTGGGAGGTATTCAGCGGCCTTGGAATGTTTAAGTATTCCAGGTCCCTCCAAAAACTAGCAGTTTTAGATTGTCTCACTACCGAGATGACGTAGCACAGCAACTATCTGCATGTTTGCATATGTGATTCAGCAGCCAACACAAGCACAATGTCATACCGATGAGTCCTTGGCAATACATGAACCACTGCTTTTTTCCATCAACAAATGCTTGAGATACGGTAGGGACCAAAGGCATGCACGTCATGTCTGTGAAGTAGATCCTGGATGGCACTCAAGCGAACATTTGATGCACAGCCGGACTCGAGCTTCATGCAGTTTATTGTCAGGGGCATCGGTGCACCTATTCGTGTCTGTCAATGTTTGCAAAACAAAGCAAAGGCTCTTCTTGGCTCGAAAGCTCACTGAAGAATTCACACCATACCATGCCCCACCAGTAGCCATGGCCTCCATTGTGCTGATGCGCAGTATTTCTTCAGGCTCGTTGCCAATTCAGAATCGAACCACCACTCGCCTCATCGCCATTGACATGCTGACCTTGGCTCTTCAGCTCAGCCTTCTCAGTCTGGCCAGGGGTGCCTATGTTTCAGGCTCAGAGCCAACGCTTCATTCTTGGAGCGCCTTTCCTGAAAAGAACCAATGGCAAATTGTAGTGGCTTCTTTTACAACTTTTGATATCCCTACCATGCCTTCAAGTAATTGACCAGGAGGGACTGGATCTTGGGAATACGCCATCCACCGCCGAGCATTTCAACCTCAGAATGCGGCACAGTGCGTGAAAACATCCTCAGCTGAACCAAAGACCGGACTGCGTCCAATTCGTCAAAGCTTGTGTTTGCAACTCTCAATGCAGCCTTCACAGTCTCAGGTTTCCCAAAGCTCTGCATGTTGCTTTCACAATCTCGACACAGAGGAACCACACTTCACTGGGGCCTCAAGGGGTTCATGTAGGCTTTCGAACAATTCAGAGGTCCAGCTTTCAAGCTCTTCTCGTGTTACCTACAACGGGAGATTCGATTCACTGCAATGACGTTGTCCACATGAGACTTGGGCGATGCCAAAGAAGACTACACCGGCGTCACCAGGTGATCGAAACAAACAATGGGCTAAAAGGCTAAAGGCTAAAAGGAGTTGATCCAAATGCCTAACTTTGGTGAATGCAGACATCAACGAATTGAATCACCCACCTGCTGTGCAAAGTCAGTGTCCTCGTACAAAGACTCAACTCTGAAGAGGCCTTCTTTATTCGCACCTTGTCCAGGCAATAAATCATTAGCCACCAGAATCAGTAAGGTAAACAACTCCAAGGGTTGGGCTGAGGACGTGCTTCAATGCTGATGCTTGCTTTTCCAATTTCTTCAAAGCTCGCACCTCACACCAGCTTTGCCAGTGTCTTTCACAATCATGTTTGGCTTGCGAGACATAGAAATACAAGTATGATGTTCGGAACCTACGACACACCTGCCACCGCCCCATGCTCTAACAGGTTGCAATGATACTCATACTAGGCACCAAACAGACTTCTCAGCATCTTTCAATTTTGGAAATTTGGCCTCCCGCAAGCATGCAATGTGAAACTTGCTAGAACAGTTCAGTTTAGCCAAGTTTAGCCGGATCTTTCTTAAGTTTGTGTATAGGAAAGTGTGCTACAGTAGACTTGGCATGCACTTTCCGTACTGTCGGTTTCCAACTTTCTTGAACCAATAGCATTAAAGCTTAAAGTTCCCCTCATCATGACTTCGTCATCTCAGCCTGGAATGCTTCTAGCATCCTGTCCGCAACTATGATGTCAACCTTAGCCAATCAAAAGCCACGACAAAGCCCTGCAGCAACTGGAGAACGTCCAAGCATGGAGCAAAGACCTGTGCTGGGCACGTGACTTGATGTCCTCCCAAGTTCTCACTGACACCACAACCTGCCACCTGGCTCAGATTTCCCTGAAAACAATAAAATGAAAAAAAGACTAAGCTAAGTTGCGCACATTCATAGCTACCGTGTCCTTGCTTTGATAGGTTGCCTAAGCTTACAAGCAACCTCACACTCGCCCATCACACCAGAATCATATATATAAGAGTATGAGGCTTATGAGGCCTTGACACCTTCATACTTCACAACACAAGCCTCGAAGTCTCGAAGGTGCAAAGCCACCTATTTAGCGTCTGGACAGACGGTGCCTCCACATGTCTGCTTCCCATGTTGAAGAAAAGCACTGTGGTCCTACACTGGCATCAATCATTGTCAAGTTTCACTGCTATCCTGCATCAACATTCCATCCCTCCTGTTGGGTTGAATCTCTGCAGAAGTATTCGTGGCAGGGCTCCCAGCACCTGAATGTGGAGGGATTGACAAAGCATACATCGAGAAGGCTATATATATAATCCCCGCCAAGTCTTGCAGCACCTCCAAGCGAAAGGTCCAGCGCTCGATGCAAGGCTGCTGCAGACGTCTCATGAATCAACTGTGCACGCGGCAGCCTCAGACATTTGTGTTCCAGCTTGGATCCATAGTTTCCTTGTGTTCACTCCTCCAAAAGGAAGCTCAGTATGCTGAGAGTGCTCTCATTCTCTGCTCTTGGGGATTGAGAGTAATTGCAGTTGAAGTGGAGGAGCAGCAAGTAGCAACAAAAGATCTTAGGATGAACCTGCCAAGCAACCTACAAACTATCATAATAATCCTCACCACATGCATTGCTGAAGTGTGCTTTTGGGTACAACATGTTGCTATGAATTATGCTGCATGCCCAGGCTGCCCCGCAAGCTGATGCGTGAATATCTGAATGTGCTTTTGTTAGTTCCGGTGTTTCAGTCTGGGGCAAGCTCCCAGCAATTCTTGCTGCATCAAGAAGTGCTCGGCGCTGCAACATGGTTGCCTCTTATGACAAAACGGTTTGGGGAAAAAGAAAATACAATTTCTAAAAGCTGCGTGGAAAACTTGATTCAAGCAAGCAGGCCAAAAGCAATAAGGAATGCGCAGAAGAAACTATTGTGAGGATTGTTTCCGAGACTGCCTTGGTTCAAAGCACTGAAGAACCTTCAGACCTTCAACCAATGTTTCCATCAATATGCCAAGAGAGTGACAGTACCATCAACTGTCGTTTCTGCAAGCTCCTAGCATCTTCAGGTCACAGTTATTTTTCAGTGATGTTAA